CCCCCACCTTCAGAGTATTTTGAGGATGTAAGTAAAATGGTGATGCCAATCACGTGTCAATCATTCTGGTATATCAGGGGTTTTAATTGTGTTCTTTGCCTATAAATGGAATTATTATAATTAGTTGTTATTGTTATTTGTGAATACCAAGTCACCTCACCTCTATGTGCTGATGCTAATGAATAGCTCACCTCTCTCGATAAAGTTTTAAGCATTCACGTTGAATAAAATGAATACAAGAGAGATGTTTCAGTGTAGCGCTGTCTCTTGCAGCACGCCCGTGTTTTTGTACCACTAAATCCAGTTGTTGAACCCATTATGTACAGATGTGGACACTTTTTTACTCTTTGTTGAAATAGATGTAGAAGTTCAATCATGTAGGCACTTCATGATCTTCTAGGGAAAAGCATGTTGTGTGACTATGCCTATTTGGTCTTTTTTTCTGAAGCAAGCTAAAATGGCTGTTTCGGTGCGCAGGAACAATAGTGAATTCTGGCAGATTTTTGACTGCAATAACCGCTGCTAAGCACAAAACCAGATACTGATGCTGTAGCTCATCTTGGAGTAAAGATCTAGTGAGAGGAAAAACCCTGTATGTTTTAGTTTTAAGGACCCATAGAATCCCTGACTGCATTCAGGGATGTAAGTTAATGTTTTCTTGATTGGTATTGGAACACCTTTCTGCCCCTCACCAACACTTCAGCCCCAGTGAAGACAGCAAGCCTTCTCTGGAAGCTTTGGAAAAACTCTGGGCTGTTGCTTTCATGTCCCTTTGCCTGAGCTCTCCAGCAGGTGCCAGTGTGGTCTCTTCATTATCCCCAGCCAGGCAGTCTAGGGGTTGTTCTCTTGTTTCTGTATAACAACCTGAGTTAAAGAGAAAACATGCATTCTGAGTTTGTAACTCTTAATTATCAAGTGAACAGGCTTAAATTCTCTTCAAGCCTTGTGTTTAGTACTCTATTCATCCCACAATTGCATGCCACATAATATTTGAATAACTGCACCAGTATAAAATATTTTTAATGTGTTAGTGCAAATTTAAAATACTGGTGCTTTCAGCTGCAAGTAACGCAGAGAAAAGAAGAAATAAGGAATTCTTTTAAAGTAGTGTGCACAGGGGTCAGGGAGGACTTGGAGCAGAGTTGCTTTTTTCTTGGTGTGCAGGTCAGAAGATAACAGCTTACCATGTATTTATACAGCCTGCTGATCTTTGCAGAATTAATAATAGTGCAGTAACACTTTATAATAGTAAAGTTTCCATGTCTGCTCCAGTTCAGCTAAGCTTTAGTTTTGGCAGATAATTATTTTTGTTCTTTGACTGTGCCTGTTATTAAATTGAAAAACAGCAGAAGCATAAAGCCTACAGAGGGGCCCATAGGTTAAGTCTAAACAAATATTCTGCCTCTTATTGCCAAGAAATTGGAAATGTGGAATTTAGGAAAAAGTAGCATTGAATTAGAATACCCAAGCTTAAGAACGTATGGTTTTATTCTTGCTTTAGGGTGTATACCCCTGGGTCTCTTAAGAAAACTTGGCTTACAGCAAGTCAGATAACTAAGAGATGGATGACTTTGGAAAATGTGGTCTGAATAAATAATGTACCACTCTGCTTACAGTACTTTGATGCAGAAATGGTCTTAAAACCCAAATATAAACAGACAATCTGAGGACATGTTTAACTTGTGAAGTACTTTAATTTACAGTGTAAGGTCTGGAGCAGTTACCAAGATATTTAAAGATTCCTGCTCTGTTACCTAGCAGAGTAGCACTCCTTAAGGTGCATGGTTTCTGGTGTCCTCTGGAAATGTGAAACAGTTAAGCCTCATGTACCAAATCAGAACTGTTCTGTTAGAAATAAATAAAGGTCATTTAGTCTCAAGAACGACATGGTTCCAAAGCTAAAATCTGTACATTGATTTCAGTTGGTAATCGGGTGGAACACCTCTTCACACTTCACTGTTCAGATGTTTTTTTAAAAAGTTGTGGGAGGGCTTGCTTCTGCGATGTTTGTACTGTTAAGATGTTGGTCACTGTCTGTTTACAGTACAGCTGGGGGTACTGGGCTTCACCTAAATATGTTTTTAATCCCCAGGTCAGATGTATCAACAGTACCAACAGCCTGGTTATCCCGCAGCACAAGCACAGCAGCAGTACGGCGTGCAGTACCCAGGTAAGCTGCGCTCTCTGCAGAACCCACCCTGCGGTGCCTGAGGCAGTAGGGCAAGGGCAGGGTGCTGGGCAGCCCCAGGCCTCTGCTCTGGTGGGAAGCAGCCCAGTTCAGAAGTTGCCAGGAGGAGAACGCTGTCGCTGTCTGTGTAATACATAGTTGGAGTTGTGGTATCTCAGTCCTACTCAATGGTGAGCACAAGCGGAGTTGGTTATTAATCAGCAGACTGTGTTGTTAGAAAGGTAGGCAAAATGAGTCGCCTCAGGTATGAGGCTGAACTCCTGCAGTCTTGAGATTCTAGCAAGTAAGTGGCTAAAACATCCCAATGTAGCTTCCTTAAAGAAGAGGTATATAAAGGTGGCCTATTTCTTGCATCTCGAATAATCTCCATGTACAAAATTTAGTGGTGTGAACAGATTATACTTGTCATTTACTATATACTTAGCTATTATAAATACTGTGACTTTGGAGAAACTTTTCAAGTGATAGTTCTTGTAGTTGTTGATTTTTTTCTTATACCTCAAGTAAAGGCACCAGTAGCCTTTTAGGAGAAGAACGTTTCAGTGCGCTGGTGGTTTAGGCACAGTCAGATATGAAAAGGTGGCTTTTGTGTATACCCAAAATACACTTGACTTCAGAACTTTAATTTAGGAGCAGCTGGCATCTAATAATGCATAGTGTATGCTAGGAATCCTCATCCAGCTGAAGTACAGGGATGGGCCTGCAACAGTAGATTCCATAACAAACTGCAAGTTGCTTAATACTTCTAGAAAATGACAGAGAATTTATCATTGTTTTAAACAATCCTCCTTAAACTAAAGACTCCTGTACCATTAAGTGACTCAGAATAGAGCCTATATAGCCTTTTTTTGGGTGTGCAATACATACAGTAGGAGCGCATCAGTTCTGATGTAGATGAGAACACTTGCAGAGCTTATGGAGAAATTCCATGTTTGTCTTTGATAGGAACCCTAGAAAACTTGGAAGTGAAGGTTTGGTGCCTCAGCCCTTGGTGCTGTGTGCTGTGAGAGAGCTGGTTTATTTGGGTCTCTAAATGGTATCTTGTTCTCTGCAGATGTCTCACCCCCACGTTTGTAATTAGAAGACAGTGACAGACTTTCTGAAGTCTAATTTCAGAAGAAATAACAAGCCTGTTGGAAGTAGAAGGCTCTATCTGACTTTCTTTAGGCTTAAAAATTGGGGGGGGGGAAGGAGTTTCTAGTTATGCCCTACCATCATTCAGTCCGCTATTTTACTGGAGAAGTTCCTGTGAAAGCTGTAGTGCAATGTGAGTTCTGCATTCTAATCACCATCACCTGCAAGCAAGAACAAACCACTGCCAGAGCTGACTTAGGGCTCCTCTGTTTCTCAGTTAACCCAGTCTTTCAGAAACAAGTCTTTTTTTCTGAGGACATAAGTGAGAGCAGATTTTGAAGATCTTGACTCAGGAATTCTTTTGTTAGTTTTGCTGTTGTTCCCCTGAGTATTGTCTCCTTTCAAACCCCTGTCTCCCAAGAGTGGGATCCGTTCCTGCTCTTGTAGATCTGCTAGGCAACCCTGTGGCTATTGATTCATGGTAGTAAAAATGGACCCTTCTGAGGTTTGTCTCATGAGTAAATTTTGATCCCAGTTTCAAGGTGAGTTTACTCCAGTGCATTCTTCAATCCTTACTCTTTCTGTTTAGGGCTGTGCACTGTTAATAATTTGTGTGTCTGGTGTTTAATGCTGACAGGATCCCAGTCACTGGAGAGGTTTCATTGCAAGTAGCTGCAGGTGTGTTTCATGATGGATAAAAGTAGCTATTTCTTCATAAAAGGATTTTGTGTCGTGTTAAAGTCTTCAATAAGAAAAATTCCTTTTGGAAGCTGGTTTTATGCAGAAAAATCAAGTTTGGGACATGTTTAAATGGAAGTTTTGTACTAAAGTATTCTGGTCTGCACAACTTTTTCATATTTAACCCTAAAGAGCTGAAACCTCCTCTCATTTAACCGAAGGTATGACTTACATTAAACCCTAATGGTATTTTCGTGCCAGTTTGGGTTTTTATTTGGGAAGAAGGTTGCATTTTGCCTCATTTGCCAGTGAAGACTTTTTATTTTTCATGTGATGTGATGGTAAAATACGAGGTGTTATTTTTTTAATGCCCGTTGTGTACCACCTGTTTTTGGCGCGGCTGTGCTGCGGTGGTAGCATGCTGAGAACCAGGCAGCTGGTTCTTGGTTTGCTTTTTCTGCGCTTACTGTGTTGTTTTGTGTTTGCTGAGGGATTCTGCGTGCTCTCTAACCCACCTTTTTCTGCTTTTTGCCTTTCCAGCAGGCTACAGCCAGCAGCAGCCCCCCTCGCAGCAAGCCCAGCAGTTCCCGGCCTACAGCCAGCCGGCGGCCCCTGCCCCAGCCGCCGCCTTCCCTGGGCAGCAGCCACAGTACCCGGCGGGCAGTTTCCCCCCGCAGCCCTACACCACGCAGCCCTCGCAGGCTGGGCCCTACAGCGGCCCCCCTGGCTCCCAGGCGGCCCCTGGCACCTTCCAGCCGCGGCCGGGCTTCACCCCCCCGCCCGGTAGCACCATCACCCCCCCGCCCAGTGGGACCAACCCCTATGTCCGCAGCCGCCCACCCTTCGGTGCCCAGGGCTACACCCAGCCGGGACCTGGCTACCGGTAAGGAGCGGCCACGGGCACCTGCTGTCGGTCCTGCCCCCACAGACTCGGGGATTTTGAACCAATGAGGCAAAACCAGGGAGCTGGGGGTTAAATTCTGCGGGGGGGGGGAGGGCAACCACCAACTGAATCTTTCCTGCTTTAAGTGGTATTGGCTTCCTAGGTGAATCTGTGGCTGGGTTGTTTTGGGGGGAACGCTACCTAAATGTCTGTAAAGTGATTGATTGACATGCTAGCTTGCTGTGGGGGAAGAGTATGAAGATCCTAGGTGGAAGTTTAGCCCACTTCTCAGGCTTGTTTTTACTAATACCATGATGTACTAAATTAGATTCATTCTGGAGGTAAAACTAGATATGATATATTATAAATTGTAATGCTCACCTGGACAACTAATAAAAACCCAGAATCTATTCAATGCCTGATCTTGTTTTTTCAAATTTGGGTAATACTGAACAAGAAAAGGTTGTTAAGGTGGGTGGGACAGATGGTGGGGTTTGTAGAAGAGACAGATTTTTAGGTGTGTAAATGGAGAAGGGTTGTGAATAGAGATTGCTTTTGCAGAGGTTATGCAGCTGGGGCTGGTTTGGCACTGTCAGCTGCTGTTAATTGCCAAGTCATCCTCTTATTACCAAATGAACAAGAACTGAAACACAAAATCTTAGAGCCCCTTACCAATTTAACTTTAACAAGGGCGGGGGGAGATCTGGTTTATTACTTGAAAATTTAAGCCAAATATGTATTTTTAAGAACTCTTAAAAAAGAACAGCTTTCCACAGGTTCTTTGCCACCCAGAAAAACTTGGGAGTGCAATTCTAGGGCCTCGATTTTGAGCCAAGGAAAAGCCAATGAAGAGCTGTAACAGATTCAATAGACCATATAACAGCAGAGGGCAAAATATTCTCCCAGTTAATATTTTCCATCTTTGGGATTATAGGAATACATAAAACCAAGTAGGGAATTAAAAAAACAAGCTGGAGCAAGCTGCTTGAACTCCATAAAGACAAATTAGGAAGTGAGTGAAAAGCCTCCTACCTTCAGCATCTTTAGATGTGCTGCTCCCCCTTGGGTAAGGCAGAGCTGCACCTCCTGCTGCTTGCACTTGTCAGTCCAAACCCCATGGCTGTGCAGCGGCAGTTAACATGTGCCTGCTTCAGAAAAAAATGCTTCCTGACATAACAGCATTTCCCCCAGAAACTAACACTGATTTTCATGTAAAACACCAAGAAAAACACTTGATTAAAAAATACTTTATTAGGAGTACAGTGTACCTGCAATGTACTTTATAAGGCATTTTCTATAAATGACTATTTCTACTATATATATATCTGAGTGTTCCTGTTCATATATTTTTCAATACGTTAGTAATGTAATGAATAACACCTTTTAAAAAAAACTACATCTCTTTATTTAGTTTGTAAATGTTCAAGCAGTACAACAAGTAGCTTTGGGCGAGGTTTTAGTCAAAAGTACTCTAAAGCAGTTTTAACGTTCAGTGATTACTATTTCTCCTTTGTCCCCAATGAACAATGTTTTAGATCATTTTTTTTTCTTTTTTATTTAAATAAAATAAACCTGATTATGCTAAGTAGCTTATTTTCCCCTTCTTCATTTATCTTTCCAAGCCCCCCTGAACTGTACATACATTTGGCTTTTGAGCCAGTAAGTCTCAGTCTCTGAAAACTACATTTTTGTGAAAAGCCACAGCTGCGGAGGCCAGTTTCATTTTTTTATTCTGTGTATGTACGTGCCCATTGGCTTTAACTGGGGGAAACCAAACCCAGCAACCAGCCCCTGCCAAGCTCCTGGGCTGCGACTCTGACTCCAGCACAAGAGGCTGAACATGCTCTTGTCTGCTGGAGCTGAAGCATTGGAAAAAAATCCACTAACCTGATGGTTTAAAGCTGCACATATAGCAACCTACCTCTGTGCTGTGGCAGGAGCATAAATTGTCTGTATGTGTAAGGAGAAAGCGCTTCAAGTTTACTGGTTGTGGGACATTAAAAACTGTAGGGTCCTTCTGTAATTTCTGACTGGGAGGGCATTACCAATGGATGTGGACAGGTAGCTTACGGCACTTACATTAGACAAAGTGAATATTTAAAAAGTACTGCACATTGCATTCCATAACCAACTCTGCCAGAACTGTGCCTCAAATATTTATTACAACACTGATAAATAATATACACACCATATCTTTTAAAATACCATATAAACCACACCTCAAGAATAGGGAGCCAGCTTCCCTATACATTATCCTACACCATGTCCCCAGCCTGTTTGGGATTTTTTTTTAATCTAAAAACAAATCTGTAAAACTGGATAACTACAGTAAGCAGCCTACGCTATTACACAATGAATGCAGTATTGGCATTAGACTTGTATAAACCCTTGCACATCAGCAAACTTCCTGAAGTGCCAGGCACACCATAAACATCTCCTTCTTTGAGCCTGTGTTGGACAGGGTGGGAAGTGCTGGGCCTTTTCACCAAGTTCAGGGCGTGTCTACCATTTCCCAGGTATCGATGTTCCACACTCGTACCAGCGAACATAGTTAATGTGAGTCTCCCCGCCTATTTTCCCAAATTTGACAGGTTCCTGACGAACTGCCCTGAAAAACCCTGGAACAGAGAGCAAAATATTGTTTGCGCGAGGCTCCCAGACAACCCTCAGTCTTTCCCCAGGAAGCCTGTATGCTGTGCAGTCAATGGCTAAACTGGTCTGCCAGCTGTTAACCCATCTGCTGCACACAAACCAGTTGGTTTGCTGCCCATCCGTGCACTCACACCCCAAAACTGCTGGCATTTGTGCACCCAACTCAGAAGCCTGCCTGCCCTGGAGCATTGTGCTCCCAGACACACCGAAGTTTTCTAGTGCCTCAGTTGTAAGGATGAATGATCCAGTAGGATTGAAATTCCTTCCTGCCAAATTTACTTTTAGCTCAAGCTAGATTTAGCTACAAGGAAAAAAAAGTATTTGTTTCTAGAATATAGAACAAATAATCACAGTTAAGCTTTACAGTGACACAGATAATGTAAATGAAAGAAAGCCACATTTAACCCATTTATCCTCATGACAAAACTTTTATGGGTTCCTTCCCACCTCCCAGACAATGATTAAATAGTGCCCACTGCAGTTGCCTCAACGGTCCAGTGAACCTAAATAAAACTTGAGAACTGGGGATATTTCACACTGTCTCCCCCTCCCCACGGGAAAGATAATACCTTCTGCTTTCAGTCTATTTTGTAGCACACTACTAACAATTAGTTTCCAACTCAAACAATTAACGTTAAGCATCAAAGTGAGCAGTTAGTGCTGAATCCAACCTGATCATCAGAAATGTATTTGTGGCTAAAGCATGTGTACATGCGCACACAAAAAAATACTGTTCTGCAACTATTGGGCAGCAGCAGTCATGATTCCCCCCCCAACCCAGCAGTGCTTCAGGTCAAATATAGGTAGTTAATTCCAGTTTGAACAGACCTCAGCTTGCTGCAGCCAGGGAGGAACTGAGCAGCACTGGACAAGCTGTCTGGCCTTCCCTCTGTTCAGTTCATTTACTAGAATACAAGCTACAGAAAAGGTGGGGACTTTTTTTGTTTGATTGTTGTTGAGTGGTTTTGTTTTTTTTCCTAAAAATGAATGTAGCTCATGAATCCACTCAAGCAAATCCAGTCACTGAAAACAAATGGGTTTTAAATGTGTTCTAAGCTGGAGTAGTGAGCTTTTTATGTAAAAGGAGTTTTGTTATCTATAAAATCTTTTAAAAGATTTTATAAATAAAGGTGAATTGATAAAAGGTGAATATAGTACAACTGAGAGGTCTGCTGTCCCCTCAATGCCAAAGTGCATTCAAACAATCCCTTACACGTACAAACACCTTCACAAATGGGCAACACGGGGAAGGAAAAGCAAAGCCCTCTTTGAAAAAAAACAAAATACATAAGTGAACACTTTTCAGATTGTTAACCTACTTTGTTTTGGGAAAACTTGTGAAAGATTTAGGCACTTCACTTTAATCTCCCACACCTACCTGGATGCATTTCTGTACTTCTGTAAGGTGTTTTATAAACAAAGCACCAGGTACAGGAAGGTTTGGTCAACACCCTGATATTGTACTGAAAACTTTTGATGTTTTCCTCAGTAAAACATTCCGTGACACACTCAGTGTGCACACGTGCATCAACACAGCCTTGTTCCTACCCCACAAGGGAACAGAATACCTTGCGCTGGCACTGCTGCCGACATGCAAGGCAGGAGTGCAGCGACAGAAGGACAGTTCTCCTATGCTTGAGCCTCACCAACATTTGAAAAATAGCCAGGCAGGTCACAGCTGTGCTTAGGACAGCCAGTCCCATGGCCACTTAGACCAGACTGGAATTCTAGGCACCTGGTTTGAATTAGTGAGCACAGAATTACTGCAGCATGAATTATATTTTCCAGTAATAACTTTTTAGTTTCTCATTAGCACTAATCAAAGCTGTTTAATGCCCAGCTGATGATTTACGGCACTTTAAATCAACCTTGCTAGCTTGAACGTAAGACTTCACGCCTCTCTGCAAACTCAAATTTGTGGTTGCGTTTAAGTATGCAATACCAACTGTGAATAATCTGTTGGAATGTTTTAAACAGGAGAGAGGCTGTTTACTACCTAACAGAACCCAAGTCATAACCTTCCTTTAATAAGTCACTGTTCATCTTCAAAACCTTCTGGCCTCTCTTCTGCCTGCAAAGCTGGCAGGCCCCTTCCATTGCCCACCCCAGCAGAGGGCGCTGAATCCACTTTCTGGCAGGAAAATTAAACACACATACAAAGGAATTGCCAAAGTTTGCTACAGAAACAGGTGTAAGGAATTACCATCTTTGACTGGTAGATCTTCTTGCTGTCCTGTCCTTCCATCTAAGAACGAGTCTACAAATTGGCAGTGATCTTCTCCATGGCCCCTCTGGTCTCCTATGTTATAAAACTTTCCTGAAAGCAAAGAAGTAGCAAGGTTGAAATACCATGTCCAGTTTAGTGAGAGCTATTTCCACTTTCCAAAACCCACCAGAGGCAATGGGCTGTGCTTTTCGCTCTGTGGGGAAGCCAAGGTGAATGCTATGATTCTTTTCCTCTCAGGAACTGGAGCTGGAATTTGAACATTACGTGCATATTCCAAGTACAGTGCTCACAGCTGTAGACAGAAGTGCCCTCGTCCTGGCCACAGTCTATGCCTGAGTGTATTTTTCTCCTCCCTATGTCCTCCCTATGCTTCATACAGTAAGTGAACCTAGAACCCCATCCTGACTGCATCAAAAATGAGATAAGTTTTGCTAGTGATTTGAATGGAAGGGAGGTTTGGTTCCCTGTCAGGAAGCCCCCAGCACCTTCAGAGATGTTTTTATAGACCACCTTTAACACAGCCAAGGCCTGTTTTATAAATCACTGTATTTTTACAACATGTATGTGCAAGTGATATCCTTTAACAAACAGATGACCTCGGTACAGTAACTGCTTATCCAGAGCATGAAGCATGCCTGTGTATGTATTTGCAGGATTTCTTAAAAGGATACTTGACTGCAACTGAGTAGAAAACAAGGTCTCAAGTGCCTTGTGCAGCGTGTGCTGATGTTATGGGTTGTGCTTATCCTGTTAGCAGGACAAAGGAAGGAGTGAAGGACACACAGTGAAGGAGTTTTGACTGCGAGATGTTTTTACTTAAAGATTTGATTTGCATGACATTAATAATGTTCAGTTCAGAAGATGGAGGAAAGCATGCTACCTTCTCTTCCTAAGCCTTGGCAGGAAAATTTTCAGATACACTTACCCTTCTTTCTAAACTCCTTGCATACCACTTGTTCTTAATATGGTCAACCTTTGGTTGTGAGGTTGAAAGGAAAAGTGAGAGCATTTAGAAATAGGCTCAGTACTCAGGTATAAGCTAAGCAGAAAGTCCAGTTACTCACTAGAATTTGGGCGTCCTGTAGCCTTGAATCTGTGCCAGTCTGGCCACTTGCAAGATGGTGAGGTGGCTTGTCATACTGCTCCCGATAAACTCTCTCATATTTCTGTGATCTGATCAATACTTCGCCAAAAATTCTCACCTCCAACTGACAGTCTCTGTGCATGCAGTTCTCTTCTGGCTTTAGAAAATTATTTATTACTATCTAGTTTTGGCTGCAGGCATGTTTTTTCCATAGGAGAACTGGTCAGAGGGAGTTCCTCTCAGCATTTTTTTTTGTCTGAAATTAAGAACATTCAGGCTGCCCAAAACAGCTTTTTTTTTTTTTTTTTTTTTTTAATTTTTTTCCTCCCCCTCAATAAATACTTTTTTTAGGTGGCTTGCTTTTCTGGAATGCCTACAGTGACTGCTCTGGAGGACTGTTAAATGAGGTCAGCAGTAGATGCTGGTTTATAGAACAGTCCTGGCATGTGTAACGTAGATCAGTTTTTCTTCACAAGAGACAGAATAAACCAGATATTTTTATGGCTAACACAAGAACAGTAACTTCCAGATACACACATACCCTTCTGGCCCACAGCATAACCTGTGCATAACTCAGACAATTGCTATACATAAATTAACAGCATTCTCAGTGACTATTAAATTCTTACTGCCCAGTTCTTTCCATAATAAAGGAACACACTTAAAAACATTTAGCTAATAAATAACTACATTATTCGTTCTCTTTTGGGGGCAACAATTCTAGCATAAAGTAATATCTTTTTTTTTCCCCCAGTGTTCCCTTATGGGTGGTCTTAAGAAAATTAGATACCGTCTTTGTTTTATACATTATGAATTCTGCAACACTGGATGTATAGATTCACACTAAAAATCAGCACACAAAGATATGCTTGTTAGCTGCCTTACATAACAGCCTTTGTACAAGGCACCCGAATTTCAGGATCCTTACGCAGCTTAAACAGCAAAGCTTTGGAAGGCATTTTCAGGGTAAGGTGGAACTCGGACCCAGGCGCTGGCGCTAGCAGGTGCGCTTCCACGGGAGCTGTGCGATAGTGAAATGCCAGAACGGAGGCTGCCTTCACATCGGAAACTTTCTCACCTGCATACAGAGGCCCGTGCCATGACAGTCTCACTTAGGAAAGGGGGGAAAAGCAGCTTTTCTTCTACAGAAATATTTCAGTTCTTTCAAACATTGTGACAACTGGTCAGCACTACTTCTCACAACCCCAGTGCAAGAACCAGATTTAGCGTGTATAATGAATGCAGTGTGGTACCATCATCTTTCTCCAGTGAAGTTAAATCACCACCCTTCCAGCAAGAACAAAAACAACCTAATGAAAATAGGAAAATGGGCTCCTGATACATTAAACTTTTATTTGGAGATTGAAGTAGCTTTTACTGCAGTGTTAATTCACTTGATTTAGGGCTGAAGTCTAGTCCTGCTAGATTAGCACTGCTATTTCCTTTCCTGGCTGCTTTTGCGATACACTGTGCCTTGCTGCCAGTGTTTGTCATTTGATCACAGCTGGTTAGTAGAGCAACAGTTGAATGAATGATACCTCTGTACAAAACAGTCTCTTTGATTCGCATAATTGCCAAGATATTATTTATATATGAGGTATTATACTTAATATTAATGACAGGGCTTTCCTTCCTGGTCTGCTTATGGGAGAGAATGAGGCTGGGTGCACGGCCGGGCCGCTTAAAATTATAACGGCATGGGCTGCCCTACACTCCCCTGCTCTTTGCTTTCCATGTTCCTACATGATGAGACCAGAGCCCTGCTCCTGTGACGTGCTGAGCTCTGAGATGGGGCAACTCTGGGTTAGTAGATTCTTTCAGTCACAGTTTCTGCTAGTTAATTCAATCCAACATGATGAACACACTGCCTAACTTGCACTTTCCCACACACAGCTTTTTGTGTTCTGGATGCCACACTAACACCATTGTGATGGAGTTGTCCGTGCATCTCTGATAAAAGACCTTGTACAGAAGAAACCCAGGGGCTTGGGAGGGATTATAAGAATTTCATATAATTCTAAATATAGCTTGTACAATCTGTGTGAGACACAATTCTGCTTAACGATCAGCTAACTGAAAAACATTTTATAGGCTGTTTCCCCAGCTCACACACAGCATGCGTCACTTGGTTCAGAGCTTAAATACATCACACTCTAGTGACCTTAAGACACTGAACAAAACTTGAGAAGATAGATAATGCCAGGAGGCTGCTGTTAGTAAAAAAAACATAAGAAAAACAAGAGGACATTATAAGCAAAAATGGGGAATTGGAAACAATACAAAAATGTCAAGCAGGTGAGTAAAACTTGTTGACTAGAGTTGAAGTCATGTATTTATAAGCCTCACAGTAATGAAGTAACCAGATGTTTACCAAATGGGATAGGAATGACTGAGTCTAATCCTGGTCTAAAATTAGGTCATAATCCTCTAATTAAGGCTATTCCAGGCTACCCTTTAAATACCAATTTGGTGCCTTTACAGTATTCCCTGGCAGAGACTTGATCTTTATCAATTTTCTGTATGACCCCCATGATACTAACAGGTGCTTAAAATCAGATGATCACCACACAGAAGTAACTCTTGAGTCTGAAAACTCAGTATCAAACACACCAGCGATTACTGTGCACAAGCAGATTACTGTTGGTGATTAATCTGTCTATGGACTAGATTAAACATACCTGATCACACTTCAGCAGAGCTCGTCTTGTTAAATCTCTTATTTCTGAAACCATGATATCTTTAAGGAGTGTATAATGTGGGCAACACTGACTTGAAAGTCCCTTACCTGTAAGTGAATCACTGAGGTATATCTTGTATCTCAAAGAATTACACAGCTGTACACCTACAAACTTCTTATACCAAGTCCTCTTTACGTATTGTTTCCCTTTGCATTCTGAATAGGTGTCCGAATTGAATGGGATTTCAGTCCAGATAGCATCCTTTCCCACTGCAGGAGAGGAGGAAAGAGGCTGAAGTATGATGCTGCATACAAAACGATGTGCAATGAATATAGCTCAATAAATAGAATTAGAAACCTTGATGGAACAAAATGCACCATGGCACCAGTCACCTGCATTTTGAACATGAAAGATATTTCAGGGAAGCACCAAAGGATGCAGCTATGATTGATGCAGTGTATTGCTTCTGCTCTCTATGTGTGGTGTCAGTCTGGAATAAGCTTATTCTAGGACCGCGTTAGGGGGACAACGTCTGTGTATTGGCAAAACTCTCATTTACAAAAAGTGTGATGCAGTCACTGTTTTTCAGTGGGTTCAAGCCAGGACAGTCAACTTGCAGCAAACTGTACACGATTTAACAAAAATACACATAAAAATTAAATGTCATTAATTATGTGGAAAGAAATGGTGTCTCAGTGTTTGTCAAAGTGATGCCATTACAAATGCAAAAAGCAGCCCAATTTGCTTGAGCGATCTCAGCTGTTTTCAAAAGCTCAGTTCACCTCCCACCGAAGACAGCAAGAGGTCTTGTAAATGGCCTGATAAAGCAGAGCTTGATCAAGAATTCAGAAGCAGAAATTGTTTCTAAAACACTATGGCAGATAAATAGTATCGCCTGAGTTGTGCTCTGTTAACTCACTTAAAAAGTGTGGAGTAGCTTATTCATTTTGCAGAGCTTTCTTTTGCTTTAATGACAAGGCTGAGAAAATATGAGGCTGTCCTTGGCTCATTTGTGTACGTTGGTTTGAAGCCATCCCAGCTGCCGCAGGAGCACCGCATCACGTTGATTGCGTTCCGCTCAGGTAAACAAGCAGCCTGGCATGAATTCCTTACCAGAGGTACGGGTGGAAGGAGTGAAATCATGTTTGAATGCTGTTTGATTCCATAACTCATTTAGGTGGTGCAGTACAGCCACACCCCCACCCCCCTCGTAAAATTATGCTATCGCATTTCTGAAAAAAATCCTGATCAGAAGACGCTATACTATAGACAAAAGGCTTACTTGAAATTGGCTCGCTCACTCTTGGGTCCGCTGGGGGAAGAAAACAAACATTCAATCAGACACTGTAAAATGAATTTTCCCAATATTTCAATGGAAAAGCATTGGTAAGCAATTTTCTACAGTTGACACAAGCTGTAATTTGTGAAACAGAAAGAGTTTTGGAAGCAAAGTTCACTTTTGTATTAAATGAAATTAAAAGAAATGTATTTCTTATGTGAAACTACAGTATCAGTGACCCTTTAAAATTTTTACATATGGGACAATACCATTGAAACATAGTTCCTTGTGTTAAAACAAGTTTGCTGTAACCAGCAAATTTTTTTTCAAAAATTTCAATTTCAAAACTTAGAATAATGAAAAGGACCCCTCTTTAATACTTGCCACACAAAACTTGGCTATGAAAGCCCAAAAGTGACAAAAGGATGTGCACGATTAAGAAAAACTAAAACTGACGGCTCAATTTGTCCAAGCTAAATAGCAGGCGGAACACAAGCCTTGTCATTCATGAAAACTGCATTTGGCATAAACATTTTTTCAGTTTTAACAATCTAGGATTACAAAGACTGTATTCACAGTTTATAAATACGTGTGGCGTAGTCTGAACTCCTCCCTGACTATTCCCTTGCTCAGCCAAAACTCTCATCCATCAGTGACAGCACTAGATGAGGACTATTATATTATTACACCTGGATCAAAATGCAGACTGAGAAAATCCTTTAAAAAAAGCTAAATCCATATTGTGTTTCATAAGGTCCTTAAGTACTATCAAGCAATAAACACTTCCACACAAAAGATGGTATCTTGCCTGCATAAAGTCAACAAGTCAGCTATAGCCAGCCTCATGGGGAACTGAAATAGGGAAAGCAAAGGCACTCTCTCACCTCTGAGTCAGATAGGACTTGGGAACCAACCAGTGGGTAAAATAGGCTTGTATACACCTCTTTACCAGTTTTTCAGGAGAGTAAACAAGATGGAAGAGGACATATCGGGACACTGACTTTTCCCAACTGCTATTTCTCAATCCTTATTTCAGCCAAAAGACATCACTATTATACAGCAGCCTTACTGAACAGATAGCAAAAGTGCCTGTAAACACACCAGCCCAAAGAAGAACCTCGTGTTCTCCATCCAGAAGTTATTAATGAGTTGATAGAAACAAAAAGGTCAGGAATATTAATTTTAAATGACTGAGCCTTCTCTAAGGGTAAGGTTAGTTTCTTCATAATGAACACTGGACAAACTCTCTGTGCTCCTCTTTTTCCCCTGCAGTCTGGCCATCTTACATCCTCACACATCATAGACCTGATCTCAGGCTGACCTTCCAGGCACTACCATAACAAGCTCAGCAGTGAAAAGCCAATCTGGAGACAGTAAAGGGCAAGACCAAGCAACACACAAAATTAATCTTAGAGCCTTTCATATATCCCACATGGGATATATCCCAAACATGGATACTAAAGCCACTGTAAATGACTGTCCAACCCCTGGAAGTTCTTACCTGATTCAGTATTGAATGCCACAACATTGCTGCTTGGACCTTCACCGAGAGGGTTTCTAGGTTTCACATGGAATTCATAACTGGGGAATAAAATAGGGAAGAGGTGAAAATTTTACAAACCAAGCATTCTTTCAGAGTCTGGAGCAAGCAAACTGCCAACACACACTTTGGTGCTACTTGCCTCCAGGAGAAGAAAAAAAAGGCCTCATTTCTTGCTCTGAAAACACTGAGACATTCTTTGACCTAACTGTATAAGGCCTCTTTGAACACATATTTTACAAGTCCTTTTGACAATTCTTTGTCCACATACTATTAACCTTTGATTTAATACACCACTGGTTTAAGTGTGCCTCCTCTCACACATGCAGTTTCAGTTCTTGGCAAGGGGAACAGTTCAGGAGAGGTTAGAGGCAATCTGATAAGCAGAGATTGAGTAAAACACACTGCTATTTATTTGCACATTTTTCATTCATAAGTACTCAAACATCCATCTCAGTGACACTCAGGCCCACCAATGGTGAAAAGGGACAGGAGCTCAGCCAAGGCAAAGAACCAACTGCTTGAATATATGGTAACAGTAAATATATGAAGTAATGAAAAGATACTGTGCAGTCTCTTTCTTATCTTTCCACAGTAATGTCGCACACCACCAGTCTGTACCATAGTTATCTCAAGATCTCTTTCCATCACAGCTGTGTTGAGAACCAAACACAGTGCTATGAAAACAGAACCAAGAGAAGAAAAAAATCTCCCACTCCTCAGTACTTAATTAACAGTGGTGGACAGGCAAAAACAAGGTTGTTTCTAACTCTGCAGCTCAGCTGAAACTTACACTTTCAATTAGAAACTCTAGATAAGCAGCCATTGAAAGACAGTTGCAAACATAAAAATGTTACACAGAAGACACCAGACAGAACAGTGGGGAAAGAGTTACAAGGGTGGACAGTGGACACTGGACACAGCTAAGAGGTAAGCATCAAGGCAGAGCTAGAAACAAACTGTATTTTCTTCCTTCCTGCGCATGCTATCCCAGCATGCCGCTTCTCAGTTCTCCCAGCTCCAGCCTGGCGACAACCTGGGAATTCCTCACTGCTCAGCAACGGCTCAGCACCTCCCCGTAGGACCTGCATGCCCTCCGTGCCAAAGCACCGTGACGAGGAGCAAGTATGCACCCAGACAACAGCACCTTCTTCATGCCTTCCCCATGAGCAATAAGCAATAATCTGTCCCATGCGTGCCACCTGCAGAGAGACTTTTTATAATCTTTGAGTGCATACATTGTGAATCTCTCAACACAGAGCGTTTGTTCATCAGTGAGGCAGATCCACAGGACACAAGTCAAAAGGAGCGTAGGCCTAGAAAATGGGCCCTAATATAGAGACGAAACATAGAGCAAAATGAGAATCCCAGAAGTGAGCAATTAAACATCCATCTCTTGACTTATGGAGGATCACTTACCAACAATAACTTGGTAGCTCATGACTATAACATAGCATTGTAATGTATTGCTGAAATTGTTTCCAAACAGCAATTTTCTAAAGAAAAAACCCCCACCACTCTCTTCATGGTTGGAAATTCGTAAATTCCACTTGCAAGTCCCTACAAGAGGCAGAGTAATTCAGTCCAAACTCTGGATTACCTCTCATTGCTTCTTGGCTCCTGCAAAACCTGAACAGCTTGCTAATTAACCTCAGTGGACTAGTCATGCAGTACCAAGCAACTGGTTTCCATCTGCAGTAATTCTAAGGCAATATTTAACTTTCAAACTGCTTACATAAGCAATTGCCTTTATTTCTAGGGTTTTCTTTTTTTAAGGGAAATACTTACAAAGATTGGCCTGCTGAACAGATGTGGATTGTTGTGGATAACTCGTGGATATTTCTAAGTTAAATATGATTATTTTGAGCTTTAAAAAGTCTATTTGGAGTAATCTTAACATTTATCCAAACATGCTGCTAGACCATTTTGAGCAACTCATATTGCCCTACTGTAGGAGGGAGGCATTAAATAAATAATCATCTAAACAATAAATTCTAGACACAAAATCTTCTGCATTATCAACTTCAAATTGTTTAAACAAATACATGCTTTTTGTATGGATTGGATCTGAGCAGTTAATATTCGCATTAGGCATGTGGTACAGTAACTCTTTGGTCAATAAATATTCTTATCTGGTAGAAAAGGTTGTTAACCAGAGATCTGTAGCAGAGCAGTTGGAAATTCTTCTGAAGAATCGCTGAAGCATAAATGAAGATTTGCTAATACATTGGGTGTTTTAAAGTAAAAGCTAGAAGATACATTTTGGAAAATGTACAAATTAATTCATGCCTAAAGATAAAAGACTCCAAAGAACTGTTCCTGCTTCCTTCACAGCAGGAACACCTTATCTAGAACTACCGTTGTAATTTTGATCATTGATAGATCAACATGGCATGTCTTATTGCCTTACTGGGAGTTTATGGTTTGACCTTATGGATGATAATAATCTGTTTAGGTCTCTTTGCGTGAAATCAAAAGGGAAACATGAAGATCACTGCCTAGGATTCCTGTCCTAGAGTTTTTTCATTGGCTACAAGGAAAGGACAAAAACTGAGCAGGTGAAATGCTCTTACGGAACTAGACTGGGCAGGCGCAGGGACTCAGCAGGTGATGACACAGGCAAGTGTGAACTAAAGATAAAGGTGTACATTTGGCATATCTGGATCTCACATTAATAAGAGTTTCACAGATTTTGCAAACTGGATTTACATGCCTTTTTCAGGTAGAAAATCACAAGTTGGACATGACGGTGGAAGATTTTGAAACAATCTAAAGTATTTTGCTGACTTTTGAACAAATATTTTGTCCTCAAGAGCTGATATGCCCTACTTTAAGTTTCATCAGGCAACATTCTTCACAGGAAACAGTCCTGTTCCCAAAAAACTTAAGTCAATAAACTTGGACCCATCAATTCTCTAACTCCATAAAAAGACCAAAACAAGAACTGAAGACTAAATATTTTCCAAGCAGTGTTTTTCAAATTGTGGTCTAGGGACCACTAGGATTTCTGCAAAAGATCAAACCACAGTTGGGAAAATTATGGCAAGTTTGAAATAAAGAACTAAAATCTACACATAGAGATTTCAGCTCATGTAAACATATAAACAAAATTGGAGAAAAGGAAAGTAATAAAGAAATGTCCAAAGTTTAGTTTAGTCAATTAGGGGAGCATCCTATTAATGTTAAAGAGCAAAATTTTTAAACTAAAATACATACAATTCTACAGTATTGTGGTAGGTGTTTTTACAGGTGCCCAACCATCACAGGCTCCTTTCCTCTGCCAAATTCAATTCTGAAACAATAGCAGTGGCTGCAACAGTACAAGAATGACAAACAGCCATGGAGATGAAGAGAAGTAACTAGTTGACTAAAACTGCAAGGGAGAGAAGGGAAAAGTCAGACCGAGTTCACAATTTGATAGAGTTTACAGATCTAACTAATTTTAAGGCCATGATGCAGCTCTCTTCATAGAAAACCATTTGAAGTCTCCCTTTTTGTGTGTCAGGTGAAAGATTTTAAAAATAAAAATTAAATGGTGAAAAAAAGGGTACCTGCTGTAATAAGATACGCTTTTATGCAAACCACAGGGGAGGGGAAAAAAATGCTTAGAGGTTCAAGAAGGTATGTAGGGTAAAGTTAATAAAGGGAAATAGAAAAGCTACATAATGATTATCCCATGTCTACCTCTTAGCTAGACTTATTCATGAGAAACTTGAGTCTATATTCCACCTTTATGTCTGTATGCCTATGATGCCAAAAACTCTGCTACCCAACATATGTGTCACACCTCTAACATCTATAAGATTGCTATCCTACAAACTTTGGAGATTAGGCTTCCCAAATCCTCCCAAACTGCATAAGACAATAAAAGTCTTTGTGCAGATTAAATGGACTTGACTTCGAGTAATTACTCTTCACAGTGTATTTTTCCACCATAGGAAATGGCTATTCCACATGGAGCTTTGGCAGATGCAGCTGCAGCTGCTTCTGAATTTTTCAAAGCATGCGAAAGGAGAAGACTGAAGATGGCAGAGCTGAAAACAGGTGAAGAGATATTTTCACCATAATAGGAGGACTGGAGCAGATCAGTACAGTCCTGGGACTTCAGGGTCAATTTCTGGGGAGATGGCTGGTGGTGGTTAGATGACAATCATGCAGGACTTTCTCAATGTATAGAGCCTCTCTGTCTTTGCAGAGTGTGCTTCAATAGCAGTATTGTCAGACATAGCAAATAAAACTAGGTTTAAGGGAAGGGAATGAAAAAAGCAAGGGAAAAAAAAAAAAAGTGCCGGGCTTGTTTGAGGAATCTTTCTCCTAATCAACTTGGAAGGAGGGCTGAGACAAGTTAAGAAATGCTTACCCATGAACCTGGACATCAACAGCAATTTAGTACAAAAATCGGTTACTTTTGTAATACAGTACAAAAGACTCCAGCATTTTTCTGCCACTTTCTGCATTGCAGCTTTCACTGTAGTTCTCATCTCTTGATGATCTCTTGTTAAAAGCTAAGCTCTCTGCATTGGTAGATTTTTAAAAATTTCTATGTTATGGCACATTTCGGGTGCTAACAGCAATACAAAACAATACTAGATAATGGTAATAACAGCATGAGCAGGTAGGTATCAATTACTGTGTATAAGTGCACCAAAAGCTTATTCAGTAGAGTGTTGAAGACTTCTACACGTTATAAAAACAGTTTGGTACATGCATACATCCTAAGCATTTCACGTTTACTTCACAGTTTTGATTGGTTTGTTGGTTGCGTTTTGTGTTTTGGGGGGCCTTGGATATTTATTTATTTTAAAATTTCTTATTATTTATATTCCTCAAGAGACCTCATGGCTGGAAATATAGTTTGCCTTGGGACACAATCTAACCCAAAGTCCAAAAGAGACCACTCAAAATGTTTTTAAAAAGGATAAAATTATATTTGAAATCACCAAACTACTTAACCAGGCAAAGGATCAGTACCTAAAGGGAAGTTTCCCAAAGCTTTGGAATGGCTTTTTGTTTCTTATCATTCTTAATAATATTTTTTTCT